GGAGCATGCAGCGCGCCGCGCTCCTGGGCGGCGGGCGGGATGCGCCGATGGCGGCGGCGGACCTGGGCGAGATGCTGGTGCCCTACATGCCCACGATCCGCGTGCCCAAGGCCGGCGACCGCGTCTACAAGGCGGAGTGCGCCTTCTCCTACGACTCGCCCGTGAGTGCGACCCCCCCCTCCCCCCCGCAGGGCAGGCCGGGGCTGCTCCGCTCCTCGGGGCACTGCAAAGGCCAAGTGTGTGTTGAGGGGGATCCCCGCTCGCTGCCCCCCCGTCGCAGCTGGCATCAGGCCTCGGGCTTGGTTTTATTTTGCAGGCTCCGGCTTGCAACCGGGCGGCGGCAGCGGATCAGCGCCCCTGGGCTCTTCTCTCCTTTCCCAGCCCGAGAAATCAAAGCCACCGAGCGTCTTTCGGAGGGGGTTGGGGGCGGTTTGCCAGGGGCCCTCCGCTCTCCGTGGCGCTGCTGGGTTTTTGCGTTCCCGCAGAGCTGGCGACGGGCCCCGCGTGTCCTCATTCACATATTTTGTGTCAGTGGGACGCGCCGTAGTCTGGCCTTCGGGATAACGCCTCCGGTCACCTTAAAAACCGCGGCCCTACCTGAGATTTACCTCTTCCATTTTGTACAGGGGCATTGCTATAGCCAGCAGGAGAGTTGCATTTTTATCCCTTTTTTGTGTAGTTGGCTGTCAGGTCTCTGCTCGGTGTGTGCGGCCTCTGACGCTATCACATGTTTGCTGGGCCCTGATATTGCAATTGGATCCATGTAGAGCCTTGCACCCGTGTAAAACAACATACGCCTTTGGGTTCGGTTGCAGGATCTGGGGTCTTGGCTGTTCTCTTCACTGCTTATAAACATCAACAGTGAGGCATCAAATCCTTCCGCTTAGATGATAGGTAAGGGAAGTGAACGGCTGTTTTAAAACCACTGAAGTTGAATGTGCTTCTAACATAGTTTTCCATAGGTAAGGCGAGTACTGTGCTTTGACATCAAGTTAAAGTGTCTTAGGCCAGAGAGAAATCAAAAGGAAGCACGAAGTCTGTAATCCTGAGTCTTTGGAAGTTTGTGCGATTCTGATTTTTTTTTTTTTTTTTAAACTCTTAATTCATATTTTTTTTTGGCTTTGATATTTCACTTTAATTTGGGGAATCCGAATGGGTTTCAGAGGTGACTCAGCTGTCTGGTGTTCATCATGTCTTGTTGAGGACAGGTTATTTTTACCCATACACTTGAGATCTCAAGTGTCACCCAGCAGCCCTCTCTGCTTCGGGATGTCCATGGATTAAAAAGGCCAGATCAGATGCTACAACAAAGAAATGAATTATTACATATTTAATGGGAGTGGAGGGAACAGAAATCAATGTGATGCAGCGTTCCCTTGCTACTTTTCTGTTTGATCTAGCATGTAGTTAATGAATCTAGTAACCTGTCAAGACCTCCGAGACACTGTAGTAAAAAGTTTCTCGTAACTGGCAGGCAAAGCTGCTAAATTACAAGTGAAATGGAAAAAAGATATCAGGTGGCTGAATATTAAAAGGAAAACATATGTAAGTGGAATATAGTAGGTACAGTATAGAGGTACAGTTTCCAAGTGCCCAAGTTCTCTTACGTTCAGTGGGAGCCATTAGGCCAATGCTTAGACCCATCTTACATTATGCCATGATAAGACCCCTTTGTACAAGTTTGTAAATACAGAGTGGCCAAATGCTGAAGTTGCTTGTACCCATGCAGCTGCAGCGAGAGCCCAGTTGGGCTTAGTATCTGTTGTCCAGTTCGAGTCCTCAGCGTCTTTGGGCAGAAGATTTATTCCAGTGTCCTCTCTTGTATTGGATGGTTGGGTGATTAGGACAGTGCTCTCTGGGTGTTATTTCTAAGCCTAGCTCTGACTCTAGTCATCCAACCTGTTTGAGCTAACGCACCCCATAAAGTCATGTGCACATCTGAAAACAGCAACACTTCATTGCTTTCTCCACAATGTAAAAGTGTGAGCTAAGTGTGCAAGTGTATCATAGTTCATGGAAAATGTTTCCCGCACCATACTTTATATTAAATAGGTTTGGTAACGTGTTTTTGTAGGTTGGCACACATGAACTACCGTGTATTGGGTTTTGCCTGGGCCAGTGGTTCTTAGTCTTTAAATTCAGGGCACCCCTTCAGGACTTTTCTGACTTCAGCAGCACCACCGTTAAAAGCCACTTTTGTGCTGCCTCAGTTTACCTTGGTGGTTCTCACTGGGGTGCTGCTGCTGCCAGGTGAAGGCTCCCCTTATGTGCAGCATGACTCCTGGCTGGAAAGCAGCAGTAGCAGGACCTCAGCACTCCTACCCTAGGTTTATCTGATAAGCTTATCTGAGTTGCGGGGCCAGAACAACAATAGCATTTGTCAACCAGGATGCTGCTCAATTTGCCCTAGGTTCAGCGAATAAACCTAACGCAGACAGGAGGGCCTGCTCCTGCCATAGCTGCTTCTCAGTCCAGCTCTGCTCTCTGCATGAGGTGTGTGGCACCCTTGAAAGGATCTTGTGATACCCCGGGGGGCTGCAGCACTGGTCTAGATGTATATTCTGTCTTAGGAAGAGGAAGGTAGATTTGATTCTGGAGCGTTAAAACAAATGAGAACCCTTACCAAAATACCCTCTTGGGTTTCTTATCTGGTGGTTTGCTAGTTACATTTTCAACCTGGGAAGTAATTTATTTCCCCCCATAATTTACAACCTTACATAATATTTCCTTATACCCTCTTGTCCTCCCTGTTTGACTCTTAGTCCTGCATTTGTCACTCTAATGCAAGTCCCTGCAGATTTGTTTAAAACCAGCTGTTTTGCAAGCTGTTCTATTCTGGCCCTTGAATAGCAAATTTTATTTTTATAGTAGATCGCATTAACCCCATAGTACTGTCCCATGCAAATGTCACCCCTGAGCTTTTGCTTTCCCAAGAAAATAAATGTCTTGGGCATTTTGGAACGGTATCTTGCTGGCTGTCCTAGCTAGACAGGAAAGTGGGTTAATGGTTGAAGGCTAGAGTCAGAAAATCTGAGTTCTGCCATGCACTTGTGGTGCGATCTTGGGCAAGTCGCTTAAGCTCTGTCTGCGGTTGTAGTTTCTGCAGCTGGAATAATGATGCCTTACTGAGGTGGTTGTGAGCTTGAACCCGTGGCCTCACCCAGAACTTTGTAGATTTGCAGAAAGAAATGATCAAGTGTCACTGCTGTATTAGATGGGAGATGGTGGTTATTTGTCATAAAGAGGAGTAGACTGCACACACCACCACTGTTTCGTTCCTCGGGGTGTAAATCCTACTTCCTCTGAAAATCTGAGAGCGCTGGGATTTTTCTTGTGTGTTGAAGAATGCTGTTGCTTCAGAAGCATGGGTATGGATACGAGGCGGCCATTCCAGATGTTTTCCCATTTAGGACAAACCCTAAAGTAAACCAGTTGGGTACGGCCTGAACTCTAAAATCTGCTTTCCACGTCCGACAACGTCTAGCAGGCTAATGTCTGAGTAACTCCACAGGAGCCCAAGTGACATTGGGCTCCGTACACTCAGCAGCCCAAGTGACGTTCTCTGCAGCGAGCCGCAGAAGGCTCCATGCTTGATCCGAAGGTAGCTGATTCATTAGGAAGTGCCCCTTTTTCGTGTTTTTTAATTAATTCTATTTAGCTGCTCCAAAGGCTCGGTTTGTCCCGTTGTGGTTCGGGTTCTGTAAAGCCGGACTTCTGAAGGGAAGGAAGACTGCTATAGCAGCGTGCATGTCTACCTCTAGCGACTGGCCCAGTACACGGAATAACCTCTTTCTTTCTCATAACTTGAGAGGCAGCAGCCTGTAGTTTCCATTCTGGCATGCCAGCGTTCAGTCTCCTCTGCTGACCGTTGTCCCTGCATACATGTGACTGGGGTGTCTTGTGCCAAATTTCCATCAGTTTGTCACGTGTGTCGTCTCTTCCTTTGTTGGCAGCTGGGGTTGGTATTGTGTTGTTTGGGAGGAAGCTATGTTTAAACCATCTCTGCTCTCTCTAGCATTTTTTATGGAGAGCTATAGGTTCGCCGTATGCAATTCGATTAAAGAAAAGGCAGTCGTTCTGCCCTAAAGAGCTTGTGACCCGTGTTAAGTCAGGCACGGCAGTAGGGGAGAGGACTCCTGGAAAGGGGACTGAAATTGGAGGATCAGGTCTTATGTGCAGACTTTACATAACTGAGACGTACGTTCTGTGAACGCTGGGTCTTCATTTGGGTGAACTCTTGTAACAATCTGGCACAAATTGTGTGATTGCAGGTCCACGCGTTTCGGGAAAACACGGGAGCAGCATAAAGCTTGGCTTCAGTGCGGCTGGAAACCTAGCTGCTGACAACAGCTTCTTATGTGGATATTGCAGGCTTAATTTTTGTGACCTGGGAAGCTCTGTAACGGTTGTGTTAGGACAAGTCCCGAAGGGTTCAGCTGCGCCAATGCCCTGTTGCTTATCAGACGGCGCAGGGAAACCTGAAGTCTTTACTGTGCGTGGCATCAGCGGCCACAATCCGTGTAACTCTGTAGCAGCAAATTTGTTCACGTCCCCTGTTGTGTCAGCGTTTCAACAAAAGATGCAGGCTTTTTTAAATAAGAGGGCAGCAGCACAAACAAATTCCTAGAGTTTAAATCTTGAATATTATTCCAGAAATGGTTCTGGCCGAGCTGGAAAGCAATGTGTTTTTCTCTATGTTGGAATTCACTTAATTGCTTGGTGGCATGTGGCAGGCTGGAATGAACAGCAATCTTTGTTTTGGGACTGCTGCTTATCTTTAGTCTGGGGATGGGACACAGTAGGGGGTTTTTTATTGCTCCCAAAAAAGATTATTGAAGTTTATGACTTGACTGGCAGATGTTTTCTTTGCTGGTTCACAGGACACTTTGACATTGGAGTTAACCAGATGGTCAGTGCTACATCCAGTTTCTCAAAGTTTGCAAACCATATAAGGATCACATACACGCTAGTTCAAGCAGGAGAAATAGATCCTCTTTGATTCATAGATTCATCAACTGTTAGGGGCTGGAAGGGACCTTGCGGACCGTCGGGTCCAGCCCCCCCCTGCTCTAGGCAGGAAGACAACTGGGGCTAGGTGACCCCAGTGAAGTGACCGTCTAGTCTCTTGAAAACCTCCAGGGTAGGTGACTGCACCACCTGG